TTTTGCTTTGTAATGAGAGGTTGTCCAAAAATAAAAAGAATCATTAGGAAAGACATTTCCAGGGAAGGCTGCTAAATATGCAGCAACCACCAAGCTGGGAGGGAGAGAAAAAATGTGATTGCAGAACTTCTGGATAAATTAGAGGAGAGCAAATGTAGATTTAAGAAGTGGATTGCATCTCCAAACTCCACTACTGCTGCTAGTTTGGTTGCAAGGATGAAAACCATCCACAGATCAAACAGGTAGAGCTCTGATGCAGGGATGGAAACTTCTTCCATTTTTCCCCCAAATCCTAAAACTCTAAATCACACCAAGGAACGCTGGTGACAGAGGATGTGGGATTTCAGGGTTAGAGAGCTCTGCTCTGATGGATGTCAGTTCCTGCTTGGTTCCTCATGACTAAATCAGCTCCTCCCAACAGAAACACATCCACCATAGAAAGATTCCTTTATTGTGTTTCTATAATTTCATCAATGAAACAAAAACCTAAACAGCGCAGTGAAGGGTGGTGAAGCTGTGTGTGGTGAATTCCATGCAGTCAGAGCGTTCACTGCTCCTCCCTCACCTCATGCTGTTACATTTGCTCCAGGATAAACATTTAATCATGAAGGATTGTTATATATTAAGCCCACATAGTCCGTTTCTATAGTGGGATAATACACTTCGAGCCGGTGTTGCCATAAGATGCATATATAAGACTTTTACATTTTTGCGGCTTATTTTTGCGATTTATTTTGGGGTTTTTTTGGTCTTTGAGCAGTTTGGGTTGCTGCCCCCTGCAGTAGACTGATTAGGGTGAGTACACTGAGAGTGAAGTGCTCTGTTAGGAACACAAGAAACTATCCAAACTGATATCAGATGGAGTGTAGCCATTTAAGGCTCTTCATGTGAGAAGGAAGATTTTAAATTCTATTCTGGATTTAACAGGAAGCCGATGAAGAGAAGCCAGGATAGGAGAGATATGATCTCTCTTTTTCATTTTCATCAGAACTCTGGCTGCAGCATTTTGGATCAGCTGAAGGCTTTTAACTACAGTTTGTGGACTTCCTGATAGTAAAGAATTACAATAGTCCAGCCTTGAAGTAACAAATGCATGATCCCTGAATGGTGGGAAGTGGCAGTCTAGTGGTTAGGGCATAGAGCTTGGAATCCTGAGGTTCTGAGTTCGAGCCCCACTCCACAGACTGAGACTCTGGCTCCCTGAGCAAATACCCTTAACCCCACACTGCTTCCTGGCCACTGCACAATGGCAGCCCACTGCTTCCCAAGGGGATGGGTTAAATGCAGAGAGTTAATTTTGTTGCTCTGTATTTGTAACAGTGTAATGACAATAAAAGCTGGAAATAAAATGCTGAAATGACCAAATAAATGGATGTGAGAGTAGATACTGCTAGCAGATGATGCTATTTAACAATATGTCTGCTAATAGTGTCTGGTGCAAAAATTCTTTTCAAGCTCAAAATAGGCTAAGTAAGCAATACTTTAAGTGCTTACTTAATTCTAAGAGCTGCTTGGGGTGTTTTGCTGTAATTAAAGGTGAACATAGATTTGTTTTATAGGCATGGTGAATGGCTTGGCCCCTTTTAGCAAAACTCTGTCATGCAGCAGGACAATTAATGCAGTGGATAAAGGAAGGTCCATTTGAATTGCACAAAAACATTTTGTTTTTAAAGTGCATCTGTAAATCAGATTAATATGCTGTGGAAATACCTTAAAAAGGCATTTAAAAACTGGATACAAGCATCTTAAATGAGCTTTCTCTACAGGGTGCTCCCCTAGAGAGAGGATGAGGAGCTTGGTCTTCCCGGAGAGACTAAAAGAAGATTTGCTTCTCTGCCACATCGAGAAGAGTCAACTGATGTGGCTCAGACATTGGTGTCGGAGGCACCCTGAAACTTCCCATGGGAGGTATTCCAGGCACGCCCCACTATGAGATGAATAAAGATATGCTGCAGAGATGATGTCTCTCCACTGACCAGGGAACACCTCAGGCTTCGCAAAGCAGAGCTGAAGGACAAAGTCTGGGACTTCCTGACTGCTGCCCCCATGACCTGCTCCCACTTCTTAGTGGATGATGGAGACAAGGCGAGGACTTAAAAGCCTTCAAATAGGCCTTACTTTCAGAAGTTTTTTGTAATTCAAAGTGCAAGTTGGGGCCAGCTGCTACCTTGGGGTCTTGTTTGTGTGAGGGCTTGTGCTACAGGATGAAACTGTGTGCATTGGCTGACGATCTCTAACTTCCTGAATGTTTTTCTGCTTGGCTGACCATTTGACCAGGCTGTGCTTTTCTCCTGGATCAGGAGTCTCATTCTTGGAGGCTTTTTGCCAAACCCTAACCCTTCTTTTTCTGTGCCAATAATGCATTTCTGTTAAACTCCATGAGGTGAGGGGTGCATATATATATTAGGGGTGGAACGGTTCACAAATCCACGGTTCGGTTCGGTTCACGGTTTCGTGGTCAGGGTTTTCGGTTTGGTTCGGTATATGTTGATTGTTAGACCAAAATCCCATAAAAATTTATGAAATTAATGAAAAAATCCTAAAAAGCTTAATGAATTAATGAGACTGTAGGCTTTGCTTTGAGCAGGCGGTCTGGAGCGCAGCGGGGCGGAGCGCTGACGGAGTATGTGGGATTTCGGGGTTAACATAACATGTTGGTCATGTTGCTGTTAGCATAAACAAAACGTGTTGCA